ATTCCTCCTATATTAAACTTGGTACCGGCCTTACTTTCAAACTCTTCGTACAAGGTAAAACGGCAGTCACTTGGATGATCGTCGGAGACCATGATAACAACAATGCCATATTGTTCTTGCCAAGTATCGACGAGAGACCTGTTGCAATCAGCGTCACCATTTGTAAGTAGATTTGGATCTTGACCCAATGTTCCGTTCGGAAATCGAGCATCTCGAATCGACTGGGCACTGTGCAATTGCTTGTCTGTGATCGCTGTGCCAATAAACTGTGCATTGTGTAGGTTTGCACCGGTAAAGTTGATGTTATTCAAATCAGCATTGCTGAAGTGGACACCCGTGGCATCAGCACGCTAGAAGGTTGACCTAGATAAATCGGCATGATCGAATTGAGCCATATGGCAGCGAGCATGTGCGAAATATGCGTTAGGCAAGTTCGTGTAGCGGAAATTGGCCGATGAGATATACGCGTCTGAAAATTTCGCATTGTCGAGCGAGGCGTGTGAAAAGCTGACATTGTCAAGCCGAGCATGTGAGAAGTTGACGTTGAAGAGCTGGGCGTTTGTAAAGTTGGCATTCATGAGCCGGGCGTGTGAAAAGTTGACATTGAAGACCCAGGCGTGTGAAAAGCTAGCACTGCTGAGGACAGCGTGTGACAGATCAGCAGTCATGAGCTGGGCATCTGAAAATTTGGCATTGTCGAGCTGGGCGTTTGAAAAGTTAGCATTTTCGAGCCAGGCGCGTAAAAGATGAACATTCATGAGGTGGGCTTTTGAAAATCTGGGATTTACTAGGGAGGAACGTAAAAAGTTGACATTGTTGAGTTGGGCGTTTGAAAAGTTGGCATTGCTGAGACGAGCGTCTGAGAGGTCAACATTCATGAGGTGGGTGTTTGAAAAGCTGGGATTAACGAGGTCGGAGCGTGAAAAGTTGGCATTGTCGAGCTGAGCGTTTGAGAAGCCGGTATTGTTGAGTCGAGCGCCTGAGACGTGCATTTTGTGCATTCTGCTACGGATAGCTGAAGGACTCAAATCGATACTGTACAGTTTCGCTGACGAGAGATCTAGTGGAGGATGTCGATCCGCACCGGTAAGTTGTCCAGCTTCGTAGAGGAAACGAATAATGTGAATCTAGCGCAGCGGATCAACTTGACGAAAGATATTGAGAGTTTTGACGCGGACAGGTGTAGTCGTGACTGGATTAGATGTGAGTGAACCACCGTTATCTTTCAAAAGCTCACCCATTTCCTTGATATAGGCCACTAAAATGTCGTTTTGGTATCGCTCCTTCTCCTGCTCCTTGTGCGCGGTAGCCAATTCTTTATTTGCATCACTTAGATTTTTTGCAATTACTAACTCTTGATCGCGCTGTAGTCGTGTTGCATTTCGGTCTTCGGCACGTTGTTTTGCGACCGCATTCTGTTGATGAATAGTGATGACAACGGTAAAAATGCCCAACATTAGTGGGAGAATTAGAGATGAAATGAATTTGAGACCATCCCTGAGTGTCAAACCATAAAAGTCACGAGATCGAATTGGCAATCGGTCGGCTTCTGTGCTTTGCTCTTGCAGAATCATTCTTCCGTCGGCATTAGATGCACAAAAAGGAATGAACAAATCAATCATGTAGTGTTTAACGTGTGTTTCTGCATTTTTGGGACAGGATTTATTTAGAGCGCGTTTTATCGCTACGGAACACGAAAAAACTCGACTTTTATTTCTATGAAAGTCACGCTCCAGCTTAGTTTAGTTCGCCGACTGTGGATGTGTGTTTTGGTCTGTCAATAGAATGTGACAAAATAAATCTGGATTTTTTCTGTTCGTTTTGTCGTATAGGAATGATAGAACGAGGGCGTGTTGTTCAACATCAAAGATCATTGACACAAAGTGAGCCCATGAGTATGTAGAAAAAAATCACCAACGCGAAGAGAAAAAACAGAGAAAGACAAAAGAGGTAGCCTCATCTAAAAAGAGGAAACTCTGAATGAATAATGGACCTGAGCATATCTATCATTCATGGTGTTGAGTGGAACAAAGAACACATCCACGAATGATGCATCGATCATTTGATTTGCGAAATTGCGAAAAGCTTTTGTAAATCATCTATTCGTTTGTCCGTTGTGTTGAGTGTGCTTCATATTGAAGGTATATAAATTATTCAAGAAACATAATTTGATAGAATTTTGGTTTTTCTTCTTCAAATAAAAATGTACATTATTAAGAGACAATTTCGTGCGCGCGTCAAGAAAATCGATAAAACTTCCGAAAAATAAAATTTCCTTTAAATACGATTTTCGGATTCGCCATCCAAAGTTACCTATGAATCCAAGTTTTTAGCCTTCGAACACTTTTCCCCGTTGAGAGGAAAGGCCTTAAAAAAGTATCAACAAGTTTCCTTCAAAAACTGAATTCTGTATTTCTTGTTCTTTTAACCCCTGACAGCTGTTTGGGGGTTCAATCTTCGGTAATATTTTGCTTCCTATCACACCAATATTCTCTTTTTCAATGTGGTCTTTTTGCTAATCGTTACATATCATATTTAATAGTGCGTCGAAAATATGATTATTTATTTGGTTTAATATCTACTACTCATCCAAACCCCAATTATAACCTTCGTTGTCAATCAGCAATTGGACCACAATTAAATATGTCCAAATGTCTCATAGATATGGTTAAACATTCATTTTTTTATCGTGCTTCCAGCGAATGGTCTAGTCTACCTACTGACGTGTCACTTACGTTGAAGCTATCGATATTCAAAAAGAAAATTAACACATATGTGATAGTTAAATATCCTGTTGCAGAATTTCGTATGAATAAAAACATTATTGTAGATTTCGAGTTGGCTTTGAGAATATTGTCTATGGTCTCAAGTATAATTTTTCTACGAAGAACGCATCAGATTTGACTAAAAGTTTTAGGCGTTGTACCATTTTTTGTTATCTATCTTGAATATAAGTTTCAATGAAATCAAAGAAGACTATCAGGAACCATGGAGGAGACAAGTAGTTTGAAAACATTACTCTACAAAGTGAGTGAACATGAAAATTCGAAAGAAGTTCGCTTGTTTCCATAGAGGCAGGACCGACGCGAACAAAACGTTTTTTGGTTTAGTAGCTGGTTGCTACTTGAAACCAGCTCTTTCATTTGAGATGTTTACTGAGCTCCCACCTACTTTTGTCTCGCAGCTATAGGGCGTTTTGGGTTACTCTAAAAAGGCAAATGTGTTTGTAAATGTTTACCCTTAATAAACGACCAACAAGACGAAAGAAAATGTATGAATGAATCACTTATTCAGATAGTCCGAGACGTGCTCTACAAAACGTGCTATTTGGTTTTTCTTTTACTCTCTTTCAGTGCTTGGAAAATGCATTTTTTCTCTGATGAATCAGCGATAAAATCGATTTTTTCGACTTTCAGCCGGTCTTACTCGATGAAGCTAGAAGCTAGAGACTTGAAACTTTCCATAGTGTTGAGAGGGACTTAAGTCCCTCTCAACTTTCTTTTTTTTATTTTACTCACATGAATGACTTATGTGAATAAAACAAAAAAAAGAAAGTGAAAATCGGATCATAGAAAGGGCAGCTATTGCAAAAAAATCAGAAATAAGCCGTTGTAGAATACAGTTGCAATTGACTCGTATACATTTGAAGCTAGAAACTCAGTTTTCGAAAACGTTTCCGTACGCAAAAGTTTTCTATCTCAAAAATGCCTTTCTTCGCTCGTCAGGTGTTTAGTGAGTAAAACGCTTCCAGGCGTTGGTTTTAGAGGTAAGTAAAAGTTTACTGAACTTCGAATGACACATCACCAAACGCAGTTTTCGACGCTGAGCACGAATATGAGGTTAGTTTTTGATGAAAAATCCGTTTTATGGGTGGAAAGTCGATTTTAATGTTCAGAAATCCGTTTTCCCCTCTGAACTTGAAAGATCCAAATTTCTATTTTCATACCCCTGTACTGTATACTATTTGACTACACGATGCCGCAAAAATATCCAAAAAATGTTTACCCTGCCGTGCAGAAGAGACATTTCAAAAATAACCCGAAGGTACTAAAAGATGAGCAACATTCTTTTATTTAACTTTCACGCTATATTTATTTTACTCAGTTTTGAACGCTCTTTTGAATAGCTTAATCAGAATCTTTTTCCACACACTCATTCCTGAGATTCAGCAGTCACACTGAAGAATATGGCACTTTTGGCTTAACGTCGCGTTTTCATCCTAAGGAAAAAAGGTTTTCAAAATTACTTTTTACCAAAACGTTGTCTGCACTCTCTTATATCGATTGATGTAGTTTCCGTACTTTGTCAGTGCTTATACGGCGTAAGAGAAAGATTTTTAGGAACTGTATGGAAAATTTTTCCCGACCGATTTCAGAGTGCCATCTTACGTTTCTCTGCGTAATTTCTACTGTTTTTGGTCTATCGGAAAGTTATTATAATACCGTTGTTCGAATTCGAAAACATCTGTTATTGCAGAGTTTCAGAATTTCAGAAGATTAAAAGAGGATTCTATAAGGCGAAAAGTAAGTTGAGCGTCGTAATCTTGGAATCTGACACTTTTAGAAAGTTACTATTCTTCTAATTGAGAAGTGCTTAGAATTTCATAATCTCTAAAGTTCGGAGTATCTGTATTGTCTCAATTGAGAAGTATTCACAATTTGACAATTGCAGAATCTCGCAATCTGGACAAGTTTAGAGTAACACTGTTCTCTCCATTCAAAAATATTTAGAATTTTACAAATTCAAGAATCTTATAATCTGCGTAGTTTCGAGTAACAGTATTCTCTCAATTGAGAAATATTTGGAATTCCACAATTTCAGAACCTGAGAAGTTTAGATTAACACTATTCCATAAATTCCAATGGATTTAAAATTTCAGAATCGCGCAATCTCAGAAGGTTGGAAAATCACTATTCTTCGAATTCCAGAATATTTAGAATTTCTGCATCTCAGAATTTTAAAAGTTTTGCATGTTACTCTTCTCTAGACCTCGAAGTCTGCAGGATTCCACAGTTTTAGAGTGTCAGAATCTCTCAACTGCAATATGTTATACGGTGAAGGAGAAAATGTGCAGTCAAAAATAATTGTCAACTTGTTGTTAGCACGTGGTACTTCAAATATTAACTCACACTCATCTTACCTCCCCCCCAACACACTCCTGAAATTCTAGTATCTTCAAGAGAATGTTGGTTGATAGCCTGAGATGCTGAGGTTATGAAATTCTACTTCCATTGGGATTCCGAGAATATTAATATTCAGAAATGCCGAAATTCTAAATGTTTGTGAATTCAGAGAAATGTGCCATCGTAAATTTCTGAGCTTGAAATTCCGAGATTCTGGAATTCTACAGTGTTCAGATTCAGAAATTCGAGAGTACTTTAGTCCTAAGTAATCGTTATACTGTGTAATGATAATTTGACAGCTCTGTAATATTTTGATCAAAAAAGCCTTTTTATCCAAAATGAAATTGATATTTATGATCCCGATAAAAAGCGACGTCGAACCATGTAAAATCCGATTAATTTGCTTCCAAAAATTATACTCCAGCAAAATGCACCAGGCTTCTGATAATTTTTTGCGCACTTGATTTCAAGTTTTGCTTTCAGTACAAAGCAGAAAATTTTAGAACAGAATTTTTAGAAAGTCTTTTCTATTATGTCGTTTTAGAATTCTACACTGTAAGGTTGGAAATTATTTATGGAAAATGCTCGGCGAAGTTCAAAGAGTACATATGGGAATTCCGTGGGGATTTTCCAGTTTATAGAAAATCGAATTTCCAACAATCTAGAAAATCGCCGT